TCTACTCTCTCTCTTTGTTTTTTTAATCTTTCATTCATTCTTTTTGTTTTGCATTTTTTTTTATCTTCAATCGAATGGCTCTTTATATTAACTTATTAAGTTATGTTTGAGGGTAATTTACTTACACAAAATTACTTAAACAATTTAGAATGATCCATATAAACCATCCGAGCATTCATTTTACTTTTTGAGTTATTTAGGGCATTCCATTAGTTAGCCGGTCTGGGCCAATTCATCTAATTTTGGCAAAATTCCTTCTCTTTATTACAACAGATCCTCTAAAAAAAAAGAGTTTGTATATAATCAATATAGACACACTTTAAGTTTTATATATGTCTAATTTATCTTCTAATTTCTACATCATTTCTTACCAGCATTAAAATAATGCAACATTTTTTTGTTCTTACGTTTTCAACCATCCTTGAGAACATTAAAAAAGAAAAATAATAAAATGATTTTATAGAAATCAACTCTGGAAAAAGTCACAACATTATATGTCAGACTTTCAGCATGCTTATTTGTAGCATTGTTTCGAAACCTAGATTGACCCGTTAACTGGTCATCTAGCTAGCCCAATTGATTAAACAAAATAATCACTTATGACCTGGTTTCAGCCCAAGCTGGACAAACCCGAACAACCCTATGGGTTAATAGGTTGACCCGGGTTAGGTTTTAATATTTTTTTCTTTGTTTTTTGGTTCTTTCTTTCCCTTCTAAATTTTGAACTCTAAATCAAATATAAATTTTTCAATTAATAATTGTAATGCTATTGTGTTTTATTATTATCAGAAACTATAATTATTATTTCTATAAGGCATGTATAAGATCTTATGGATGAATTTTTCATTTACTTAAGAACTAATGAGATTTATTCAGATATTATTGTCTTTCATATGAATACTTTTGTATATTTAATCAAATTATATTATTTTAATCGTGACTTATTTGATTCCAAAATTGGACCATTGCCCCTTAAACCATTACCTGAATCGATTTAATAATCTATAGGTCCGGTGTTTAATACCTTGATTTATAGTGTACTCCCCTTATCTACATGGAAAGAATAGTTTTTGTTCTATTTATAAATCATGTCGATAATTTTTTATCATAATTTTCCTTTTTCACCTTTTATTGTTTGTGAAAGAAAATATGTTATTAAAAATGTAGATTTAATAGGGTTAAAATTGTATATTTATTAAACTTTGAGATTTTTAAATTTTTCATTGTTTCAAACAAACATGATGGAAATGACTTATAAGACAAAGGAGTACGTATTATGCTTGACAAAGATTTCAATATTGTGGTCACAATGTTCAATGTGTGGTCTGATGTATGAAAATATATATTTGGTGTGCAGTATATACCTACGAGATTTTATAGCGAGAATATGAAGAGGAAGGAAAGTAAAAGAGTGAAGTTTGAGACAGGGCAAAGAACTTGGAATATGAAACTTGCAATACAAAGACGTGGCAGTACAGCGACAATAAGTCGAGGGTGGAAGAGGTTTGTGGATGAACTTCATCTGCAAATTGGAGATGTTGGCTTCTTTGAATTGATCAAAACTCATGAAGATCCTGATTTTGTGTTCAATGTTCATGTTTATAGATGGGATCGCCAAAAGGACCAGTTTTCAAAGATCTTTTAGTCATTCATGATTTGTTGCCATGCCTTAGCGGGTTGTTGCATTTTGTTTGGTTGTTCTTGAGATTAATATATGGATTTGGGTTTGGTTTTGCTTGTAGTTTAATTTGTCCTTGTTTTTGCTATAGCTATCTACTGAATATTGAGATTCGAGAATTTGTTTTGTTTAATTTGTTGATTTACCTGCTTAACCTTTTTGCAATGTTACGAAAATCAGATGACCGGTCAAAAGATGATTTCACATTATATTTCACTGTCTATTGGCCAGATTAGAGTTGAACGGCAATTAATCAAATTACTAATAAGGATAAATATATTTTGATTTCAATAAGATATATTAAATTAAAATAATATATAAAAAATGTCATAACAAAGAAAATCATACTGTAATAAAAAAATTCATACTAAAATCCAAAAAAGGCTGATGCCAATTATTGGTCACAAAATTAGAGATAATAATTAAAAAGTGATGAAGTTTTCTTAAATATTATTATTAGAATTTTTATAATATATATTTTAAACTACAAGAGCAAGAATAGAAAACTTTTATTTTAATTTTAATTAAAAATAAATAAATGATGGGAAAAAAAGAATAATTATGGGGAGATATATGGAATTCAGGAGGGAACAGAAGGAGCTAGGATTGGTTTAAGATAGGAAGTTAGGAATATGGACAACCCAAGGCATAATGGGTTTCTATAAGTTGGCAGATAACGTATGGGTTGGGTTGAATTGGGTTAACCCATTTTTGTATTGATTGAAAAAATCTCAACTCAGTCCTTGTAGTTGATGGGTTAAATTAGCCAACCATCCAACCCATTTAAATTTTTTCATTATTTTTTCAAAGAATTAGACATAAATGATAAGCTCTGATATGATAATACTTCATGCATTTGAAAAACAATCATATCATAAATGTATGAGCTATTGATCCATTTCATTTTTCTTGTGAGATTGTGACATCAATTCTCCCTCCATCTTTTTATTCTTTTTTTGGTTACCCACTGATATATTGTTGGACATTAAACATGAGTACCTCTCTATTTTTTATTCTTTAATTTTTAAATTTTTTAAATATAGGTTAAACAAGTCAACCTTTCCCAATAGTGTTAACCCATTTGATTCACAAGTTATCTAGTCTAGGCCAAAAAAGATTCATTTTTATTTTGATTATTTTTTTGACCCGATCCTTATTATAACAAGTTGTTTGAGCTAATCCATATAACCGATCCATATTGTCACCTGTAGATGTGACTAAAGTTTCTGTCTAAATAGCAATTTGAATAACTAATGAGGATTGGATCTAGTGAAAGGGACTAATCTCTCACAATGTGATTGGTAAACAAAGGTTTAAATTTAAACTAGAAGAAGTGCCCACATTTACCCTCTCTTTTGATGAGAAGAAAAGTTAGAAAAAAAAAAAACAAGAAACGAGAGGAGAGAAAACAAAGATAAGAGAAAGGAAGATGGACTATTAGCTCCCAAAGCAAAAAAATCAATAAAAGTTAAGTTTTTGACTTTTTTTTTTTGAAAAATAAGTTGGAAAGATCAATCCAAATAATTATAAATTCAAAAATTTTTATTTGTAACTGTTTGAATTAATATTTACGATTCATTTTTTAGAAAATTTTGCTAGGGACCTAATTATCATTAATTCAATAATTTAAAATGTCACTCTCCCTAAGAGAAAATTAAAAAGAAAATATTATCACTTCTTGTGTTTGGATAAACAAGAAAAGACAAGGAGAAAAGAAAATGAGTAAATATTTTAAAGATAATAATACCCTAATGTTAAAATATATCAAATTTCATATAATAATCTTAATAAAAAATAAATTAAAAAATTATATTAAATTTAATATCGTCCCCAAAATAATTTAAAACCTAGTGGATAAAAAATGTATTTTCCTGTTATGATAATTTAATATGAGATAGTTTAGTGAAAATGTGTTATTTTTCTGTTAGAAAAATCAAAAGTATGTATTTTTTTAAAAAAATTAAATATAATAATGGTTTTTCATCTCCGTCCCATGAATATGAGATTTTAACATCTGGCATAAGTATTTAAGTAATTTTTGCTAAAATATGATTTTTGTATAATTAATTGATTTTGAACGTAAATTCAACGAGGCACGTAGTGTCCTTGCAATTAGTAGGGAGCAAAGTTGCCTAAGCAGAGGTGGTATTGCAAGAAGAAGAAAGCATTGCCAGTCACTGAGTTAAGCGCAGTCTATAAGGTAGCTAGAGGTCTATAATGATAGTCCCTCCGTTTCTATATATAAAATATTTTTAATTAAATTATGTAAATAAATAAAAATTAGTTATCTAATTAAAAGCATAATAACATTTTAATTTTGCCTCGAATTATTGTAAATAAAAATAAATATTTTTTTCAAAGTAAATTAATGAAAATATTTATCTTTTTCTCTTCCCAATTTAATACGGGTACAATGATCCATTCATTAAAAAATATGCTAATAATCTCTTATATTTTGGAACAAAAAAAATTTTAGAAAACCTCTTATATATAAGAACGGAGAGAGTGTGAGATATGGTGAGCCCTACTCCAATGTTCCATTTTCTCTCTGACATTTCTTTTTCCTCACTTTTTTTCCATCCAAATTGGAAAAAAAATCCATTTTCTTATCTATTTTTTACTTTCTAGTTTTCTTTACTCTTATGCTTTCTTTCAATCCAAATAAAACACTAGTGCTCCACAGTGCTTCAAACATGATTGTTTTTAATAAAAAAATATTTCTAAAAAAAATAAATAGCAATTTCACTTGCTTTTCCACAATAATTCCTTTTTTCTTTACATTATTTATTCATTTAATTTCATTAAAATAGAAAGGTTATGAAAATTCAAAAAGAAAAGGAAAAGAAGTTAATAAATCATATCAACATGCATGCATCAGTTGGAAAATTAAAGTTCATAGCCGCAACACTCAAAATTCTGTCTTGAATAAATAATAGGAAAGAAGCTTGAAATTTGAAAATAGGTGAAGCAACAGTTATTAAATATACTATTTAACCCTTTTTTTTTTAAAGGATGACTTATATATAACATTGGAAAGTGTGTTATAATTAATAGAAAATTAAGCAACACGAACAGTATGGAACTTAAGACTTAATTAAAGAAAATAATGATCGAATTAATGGTTAATGTTCATAATGCTCGCAAAACTCACGTCCTTTGTCAAGAAACGTCGGAACTGTCCAAATTGATTTTAATTTGTGCCCTTTCATTGCCACTTGCGTTACAGTCACACACACTCACACTCAATTCTCATATGAGAATCTGACCACTTTGTGATTTATATATATACATTACAATCAAAGTTCTTGCTAATTAAACTTTCATGGCTTCTCAATCCCTGAGAAAACGTAAAATGAAGCCTTCATTCTTCAAGGTCTTGATGAAAGATTTCTCTACTCGCCTGGTTAGTATACTCTAGTTCCTCTGCCGTCATTTTAATTCTCTTTTCTACACTTAAACAATGAGATATCATTTACCCTTTAATCTCCTACCTAGATTCTTCATTTCTGTTTTCTTATTTCTCTTAACATATATATTTACATATATAGAATATGGGTTTGACACTAAACGTATAGAGAGAATAAATTGATTTTTTTTTTTGTAGTTTAACCCTTTCCTTGGATACACACACACACACACACACACATGTATATTGTGACTTTTTTTATGTTCTAGTAGCTAAGGATTAAAAGTTAATTTAAAGTTTTAAACAGTCCTTATATTATTCTCTGTGTTGATATATAAACAGAAAATCCCACCAGCTTTTATGAAGGAGTTTGGGAAACACTTGGCAAAGAAAGCAACGCTTGAGACTGATTATGATAAATCATGGGAAGTTGGAGTGGAAAAACTTGGAAACAAATTTTATTTAAATAATGGATGGAGTAAATTTGTGGAAGACAATAATTTGGAAACTGGAGATTTCTTGGTGTTAAAGTATTTTGCACATTATTCTTTGTTTAAGGTCAAAATCTATGGTAAAACTTGCTGTGAGAAGAAATTGAACGTGGTTGGCAAAGGCAAAGATCAGATAAATGAACAAGGAAGAAGAAAAAGAAAGAGGAATGAAGAAGAAGATGATAATAACAATGTAAAGAGGAACGAGACTGAATTTGTTCGATCCAAAGCTTTCAAAAGTGATGTAATTAAAATTGATCCTGACTCTTCTTCGTCTTCTGATGATGACGATGAAGAAATTAGTAAGCTTCATTCAATAATGCATCGTTGTTTTTGTCTTATTACCATTATTTATTTTTTAATTAAAGTGAAATGCATGTTTATCTTAACATGAAACTAAGTTGTTTGTGTTTTATTCAAATATTATAAAAGGAAAAGGAAGTATCCAGAAAAGAAAAGCACAAACTGTTTGGCTGAAGACGAATATGCCTCAAGATTATCAAAACCATATAGAATTCAAATCTGAGAATCCCTTCTTTCAACTTCAGCTCAAGTTTTCAACTACCAATTTTTATCTGGTGAGTTTTTTTAAAATTTTCTGCTCAACTTTACCTCACAGAACCATCATAATTAAAAAAAAACAATTATGAACTAGTTTCTTCTTCAAGTTTTTCATGAAAATACTCTGTCAAAACGTTGAAAAAATTGATGTTCTTACAGATTCAGCCACGAGAATTACAATATAAAAGAACGTCACGAAGAAACTCATATTTCTCATGGATTTTGAATTCTATTATTCTTTCTCGCATGAAAATGTATTCTTATGATTTTTTTTGGCAAGAAATTTGAATTCTGACAATTTATGTTTTTGTGACTCATCATCATGGGCATGGCCCTCTAATGCCCCATGTAAATTTTCCCTCTCTCTTCTCTGTTGAATATTAAAATTCTACACATGAGACATTTTGATATTTTATGTTGACAAAATGGAGCAGTTTTGCATTTTATACAATTCTTTAAAGAAAATAAATCAAAACCGCACGGTTTTAGGAATTTTACACAATTTCTTCACCATAAAATATTAAAATATTTCTCATTTTATGTAGAAACTAATAATCAAATAAACAAGAAAAAAAGTAATTGAGAGGTTGGGACATTATAAAAGGCATTAGAGAGTGAGATATTAGAAGCTCCAAATCCACCTCATGATTTGTTTAAATGTTTTGCTAGAATAACTTTTCTCTAAGAAAAAAATTATGCTCTTTTTTTTTGGTGTCGAGCTCAGGACCTCTAAATTAAAATCTTCAAGAATTTACCATGAAGATTAAATTGTTGGTAAATTATGCTCTTCTTTGTTTCTTTTATTCTCGTCTATTTTCCTTTTGGGGTAGTGCATATGGGATTCACTTACTCATCTCCTTCAAAGGGTATTTCATGTTTGGTCTTATAGTACATTTATGTTTGTTGTACAGTACATACCCAAAGGTTTTTTCATGGAACATTTGAAGGAAAGCAAAAGGATCAAGTTAAAGATATGTGAAAAAACTTGGGATATGGAGATTCATGTGTATGAACATGAACGTGGTACAAAGCGAACACAAGGAGCCAGAGTGACTCAGGGATGGAAGAGAGCAGTGAAAGAACAGAATTTGGAAATGGACGATGTTTGCTTCTTTGAAATGATAAAAAAGTTTGATACTGATTTTGTGTTTCGTGTTCACGTTTACAGGTGGGATGATCGGAAAGCAAAGTTTTCCAAGATAATTTAGATATTGATTTGATTTCGATTACTAAATTAGTTATCTTCTTGTGATTTTAGTTCATTTGGTTTTTTAATTATGAACTTTGTAAGACGTGATCATGTGTGTTGCAATATATGGATTTGGATTTAGGTAATTTTTATTTATTTAATCAATCATATGTACGTTTGATATATATATATATATATAATTGTATAAATTTTTATTTTGACCTCTCTTTTGTATCATATTTTAATTTTAATAGTGATGTGATAAATATAAATGTTGTGCATCTGGTTTTGCACCATGGATATCATAATATGGATTTCTATTTTCTGAAATGACTTTTATAGAAAAGACTAACAAAATTTTTTAAAAAAGTGAGAGAATGAAAAAGGGGTAACGAAGTAGGAGATTTTAAAAATAGGAATATTTCAAGCATTAGCTTTGAAAATATTTTTTGCCAACCTAAATAATATATATATATATATATATATATGTTAATTGAAGTATAATAATTTTTTCCTTCTCTCTTTTATTTTCATTATATTTTCCCTGCTTCATCTATCTTTTCTTTATCTCATTATTATGGCCATCGCTTGTAAACCAAGCAAGGCGTTAAGGTGCTTGGGGAGTCTAGTTGGGGAATACTAAAAATCTCATTATTGTAGTATTTGACTCATTATTTTCTCTCTTGCACTGCTTCCTTTATAAGAAGTCTCGTAGAAGCATATGAAGTAGAATCGGTAATTCGAGCCAAGCCTTACGAGCCATCCTGAGCCAGCCCGAAAAAGGTTAAGGTCGGGCTTGACTATATGAGTTTTTTAAAGGGAGTAAAATCCAAATAAACCTGATTTAAATTGAACCTAAACTATGAAATTTCCAACTTTATGTTTATGTAGAGTAGGTAATTTTGACAAAGCCCGATGGCCAGCCTAAACCCTACCCAAAAAGCTAAAGCTAGGCTTAGCTATATGAGCTTTTTTAAGAGAGTAAGATACTTTAAGTTCAATTCAAATAAGCTCAGCCCAAATTGAGGTTGACCTAAATAAGCCCACCCCACCTGAATTATCAACTCTAATATGAAGTGGCCACTTGCTAGTGAAAGTGAGAGAGAGAAATGTTGATATTTTGATCACTTTGACTATATAGGACTATTGTATATTTTAGAAGAGTTAAAATACATATTAAAAACATAATTAATATTTTGATGTTGACAAAAAAAAACTGCATCAGTTAATTAAAAATATGTGATTATAAGAAGGGGAACAAAGATAACACTCCACTGCAAATTATAAGATACTTTTTAAAAAGATTCAGTGTTTTAAAATATAAGATACTTGGGCAACAATAAAATTTTATTAATGATGTTTTTTTAATATTACCTTTCACATATATTCTTTCTTTTATATTCTTTTATAAATGAAATATTAAATGAAGGCTATTTTTAAAAATTTATATTTTTGTTTTAAAAAAGTTAAACTTTAAAGTGTATTTAATAAATTTTATTAATATACATAATTTGATCTAAAAGGATCTTATAAATTGAAATGGGCGAATGGAGGAAGTAAATTTTGTATACCTTAAATGCGTCTCAATAATCGATCTAATTCCTGAAATTTTATATTTTTTAATCAAGTCCCTAAAATTTCAACATCATGAACAACTGGTCCTATATGGTTTCAAGAGAAAATAACATTATAAAGATTAATTGTGAATATTATATTTCAGGAATCAAATTGATAATCAAAATAAATTTAAATACCAAAAGTTTCACTTTCAGGTTTCAAGGAAAAAATATTCCTTAAAATATATCCATCATTTAATAATTAATTCAGAAACGGAATAATTAAGATCCATCATTTCAAAGAAACGTCGGAATTGTCACTTACTGAGTTACTTCCCTCCTCTCTACGCCCTTTCGTTGCCACTTGCGTTACTCCCTCTCCCTCTCTCTCTCACTTGAAATCTGATCATTTTGTGATTTGCTTTGCAAGCTGTTTCTTATATATTTTGACTCCTTCTATTACCATACATCTTGTTTAATCTTATTTCATGGCTTCACAGTCCCCGAGAAAACATGCAAAGAAACCTTCCTTCTTCAAGGTCTTGATTCGGGATTTCTCAACTCGCTTGGTTAGTACTCTATACATAGTATCATTCATTGATTTCTCTTCCTTTTCTCCTGGATCAATCTTCATTTTTGTTTTCTTATTTCTTTTCATATATATTATCTAGAATCATGGCTTTGACAATGTGAACTAATCTCTTCTTTTAGTTTCACTTTTCATATATATTATATTTCTGTGATTTATTTATGCTAAAAGTTAGAGCAAAGTAATGAGAAGTAATTAATTCCAAGTTTTTAACAGTCTATATGTTCTCTGTGGTGATATATTAACAGAAAATCCCACCAGCTTTTATGAAGGAGTTTGGAAAAGATATGTCAAAGAAAACATCAACACTTATTGAGACTTATAATGGTCGATCTTGGGAAGTTGAAGTGGAAAAGCTCGGAAACAAATTTTATTTTAATAGTGGGTGGCATAAATTTGTGGAAGATAATAATTTGGAAACTGGAGATTTCTTGGTGTTTAAGTATTTTGCAGATTATTCAAAGTTTAAGGTCAAAATCTTTGGCAAAACTTGCTGTGAGAAGCAATCCAATGTGGTTGTTGAGGAGAGGCCTTGTGAACCTCTTAATGGTAAAGTAGATCGTCAGAGAAATGCACAAGAAGGAACAAAAGAAGGAGGAATGAAGAAGAAGAAGATGATGATGATGATATTGCAAGAAGCAAGAAGACTGAATTTGATAGATCCAAAGCATTTGAAAGAAATATAATTAATATTGATTCAGACTCTTCTTCTGAATCAGATGAAGAAGGTGGAATTGGTAAGCTTCAATTCAGTTTTGCCCTTAATCTTTTTATTTTCATTTGTTTGGAACTAGAATAATACATATTCTTTCTCTTAATTAAACATCAAAGTTAATTGTTGGTGTTTTATTCAAAAATTAAGGAGGTATTCAGGAAACAAAAGCAGAGACCATGAAATCCAAGAGGAACAGAAAGCACAGAAATTTACCTTCAGATTACAATGACCAAATATATTTCACTTCTGAGAATCCTTTCTTTCAGCTTCAACTCAAGTATTCAACTGCAAATTTTTATATAGTAAGTTCTTCTCTTCAACTTTACCTCACAATCACAATTCTGATATATTTAGCATCATCATGTTTGGTCTCGTACATGTTTGCTTCTACAGCATATACCCACAAATTTTCTGAGAAAACATACGAAGGAGCTGATGAACAAAAGGATCAAGTTTCAAATATCCCAAAGACTTGGAATGTGAAGCTTCTTGTGCCCAAACGTGCAGTTGATTCCCAACATAAGAAAGAAGCGAGAGTCACTAAGGAATGGAAAAAACTAGCGAAAGAATATCATTTAAAAGAAGGAGATGTCTGCATCTTTGAAATCATCAAAAGTGATGATTTTGACTGTGTTTTTCGTCTTCATGTTTATAGATGGGATAATAAGAGGGAAGAGTTTTGCAAGCTAATTTAATTTAAAATTTTAATTTCATGACTTCAATTTTAAGTTGGTTTTTTTTTGTTGTGTTGTGTGCATGTTTTTTTTTTTTTAATGCTGAACTTTAATTTGTAGGATGTGATTACAATGATGGATTTGGGTTTGAGTTTGGTTTGTAATTTTATTTATTTGCTTTCTTACCATTTTGTTGACGTGAAACTGATTTTACTGCTATTTACTTTCATACTAGCCCTGTTAATTTCCTCTATTTTGTGGCATAATATTGTTGTGACAGAGAAATGAGGTATTTTCAATTTTTTTTTTTGGGTAAAAGAAAAGGCCACAAAGGCTTTAATCGTAATATCCAATCAATGAGGGGAGATAAGGACAGTAATTACTTATTTTAAAATTATTTATTCTCTCTATGTAATCTAATGTCTTTGAAGGTAACATTGACTTAACTACTTAACTCTATATATTTTAGATACTTTTATCTAATCAAATTAAAAAATTAAATTTTAATTTGTTAATACTATTAATAATAAAAAATTTATAAAATAAATTATTTATATCTTGATTTAATTAAAAACAAGCAGCCTAAATGTGTAAAACTAAATATACAATTTTTTTTTGGGCCATGTGGCAAACTTATTCACTGGCCCATAACAAATTGAAGTATGAAATAATGGAAACGTAACCAATTGCGACATACAAATAAATAAATGCAGGATAAATTTCGTAAGATATAATAATAAATACAACCTTTTCAAAATAAGTATACTTTTTTAGTGGAAATTAAAAAACGAGACTTTGATCGGCCCATGTTTTAAACAGGTCAACCTGTTCCCAACTGGCAATTTCCGTTCTGACCAATTGGTTGGCCCCTTTCTAACTTTAAAGAGAGCGCGCGTGTAAGAATATCAATTATAAATTATAATATTCGTAAAAGTTCTAAATTTAATTACTTATTTTAAAAAATTATCTAATAATTAAAAAATGCAACACTAAGTACTTAATGTTATATATACTTAGTTTTAAATTTTTATCCAATTAAATCAAGACAAGTGAATTTTAATATATTAATAATATTAATAATAAAATCTTGTTATGGGATAAATATCTATAAAATATCTATATGCTTTGATTTAATTGAAAACAATTACATTACATATATAAGGCTAAATATATATATTTGTCTTTTTTTTTTAAAAAGTATATGAGGTTATGGGCCCATTTGTTTTAACTTATTTTATGAAAATATCAATTAACTTTGGAAAAAAAATCTTTTTATTAGTTTTCATTATGTTTATTTAAATTTTTAAAAAATAAGTAAATATGAGAAAAAATATATTTCTGATTATTTTAAAAAGCTACTTTGAGTAGTTTT